GCGATTACGACTAATTCAAAAAGGGTTTAGTGTGACGTGGTAGACGCAAAACGGGACCCCTTTCTGGCCGTTTTTCTCACTCATGAACAGGTAACAGCTCAGAAAGTGGACGTATGAACGAGTTCACCGCAACGCTTTGATGGCACCATGCCAAACCACGCTTCCAATCGAGATGCTCCATTTGCGCCGCTGCTGGCCACGCAGCTCGTCCAAATCAACAAGTAAACTAGTGGGGGATCGCTTTTGGGGGCGGAGCGCTTTCCTGCTCAGCAACCAGCGCACCTTTCGTTGTGAAAGCGCCACATCTCGCTTCCCTGGCAGCCAAGTAACTGATTCGTGTGGTGCATATGCTTCCCCGATGCGCTCCCTCTTTATCGTAATCGCTACCTTTAATGCACGTATTTATAGGGAATTAGGGGTTGACGCATAGAGAAATGACAGCGACAGCGAATTTCACAGTAGTACTTTTTTTTGGAATTCCTTCCAGATGACTGCTGTACCGCAGTGGTTCTTCAAACCTGAATTTTCCCTCTTCAACTTTGAGTTTTCACTGTATTTTCACACATCGTTTAAAAGCGTTTTTTGACCTATTGGACGTTCGCATTTCGCTTTTCTTTTATGTTCATAGTATAGTTCTAGGCTTCGTAATGAATCAGTGGGGAATGAAGCGATTGTTTCAAAAAATCTTTCCCCGGAAATGCCGAGAAATCAATCACTAATGTGCCCCCAACTTAGACGGCTAACTTTAAATGTTCTGTAAATTTTCCAATGTCGTGGCAGAAACTTTCAAGTCGAGAATCGACAAGGTAGCGGTCAATCATCGAGTGTTTGCTGGATAACTTAAATCAGAAAAAAATTAAGACACGAGTTGTAGGAAGTCAAGTAGTGGGATTTGAGGAGAGGTCGCCGCTAACCATAAGCCCAGGGTTTCTTATTGGTTGATTTTCTCTGAAGGAACAAAACATGACTTAGTTGCTGGTTGGCTATTGATCCTTTTGGGAAAATTGGGTACCCACAACAAAGCATGGTTACCTTTTACAACTATTGAACAACCTTAGTGGAATCCTTAAAAGCACATGAGGTGAGGTTGTGTCTACGTCAATATACGCTACAGCTTGATTTCTATGGAAATAACGTAGAGTTCGGGATAAAAAAAGAAGACCTC